GGATTTCAAGTAACCGGGATGATCGAATGGGGGAAAAAATCCAAACCCAAAAGAATCCAAAGGGTTTCAAAAAAGCTTAGTTAAGGATGAAGAAGAACAAAAGCAAGAGGACCAGGATCTTGGGCAACTTTGGTTGACTAACCAATGTCAATGATCTTCGTCAACATGAATTTGACAAAAAATGGAAAATATGCGTGGAGATGATTTTGGATAGTGTGTGGTCTAAATATTTCTTTTGTCTAGATAGCTTTAAAGCGATTTAAAAAAAAGAATGATTTTTTTGTACATAGTAGATATTATTATGACACGTTGCGAACCATAAATTTTATCAAAATTATTTCTAAAAAAAACAAACAAACAACCAACCAAAGCCACTACATCTTTACATTTTTTAATGAAAGCCTGCAAATTTGTCTTGCTTATCATGTGGTGCATACACACGAAGATGACTTCTATGTGGACTCATCCGATGTGAAGGCGTGTATGATTGTCAAGTCCCACTCATCAGTTGCATGGGGTACACAGTAGAGAAGCTGTCCCGATCTGTTCAGTCATTGGTTTCTGCCAATAAAACGGTCTGACTTTCACCTTGTTCATGGTTGTCCTTTTTAACAATTTCAAAGGAACGATAAAAAGGAGTTTCCCCCTAAGGCAACAGAAAATTTTAAAGCAAAAATGATGTAAAGAAAGAAAATACCGACTAAGGGATTTCGAGTTAACACCAAATTTTCAGAAATAAGGTGGTAAGAATTGTATGGCTGAAAGTGCAGAGAAGTAAGTTTTAGATCTAGGGAAGGAGAGTTTAAAAGCTGTTAGGAGGTATATAGCAAGTACTGTTCACCTTTGTGCAGCCGATAAGACAAAATCGCGTGTCAAGAGTTAATTCTGATCACTTTTCGGTATTCTACAGGGATAATCAAAACTATAACGAAATTCTCGAACGTGATTGGTTATCACCAGTGAATAAAGGGGTAAGTTTCTGAAGAAACTGTGGTGCTGCGTCGGTGGGAGAGTATAGCAGGTAATTTAGTGTTAACAACTGGGTTGAAAACGTAAATTAGCCACCGTAAAGGATAAAAAAGCTGACGTTTCGAGCGTTAGCCCTTCGTCAGAGCGATTGACGAAGGGCTAACGCTCGAAACGTCAGCTTTTTTACCCTTTACGGTGGCTAATTTACGTTTTCAACCCAGTTGTTAACACTAAATTACCTGGTTATCACCAGCCCGATTTGAGCACTAATAGGACAGTGTACGCGTCATGCTTGTAATTGGACAGTGTAATAGGATAGTTAAAGGGACAGTTCACACGTCATGCCTGTGTAAGTGGACAGAACGCCTCATGTGCGCGCGCTGTTGTCTCGCATTTCGCTGAGTCAACTGATATTTTTTTTAATGAAAACGTATAACCGACGTCTAGTTTCTTTCTCAAATTTTGTTATAGGTTTTGATTAATTGGTAACAGGACTTCGTGTCGTCCAATTCTCTCTGTAATCATACTCGTGATTAACAAATCAGACTTCCGCTTCGTGGTCGTCCGATTTTGTTAATCACTCCTATGATTACAGATCGAATTGGAATCTACTCAGTCCTATTACCATTATGAACTAGACTCAACTCGGCCCTATTACCATTATTAATTTCACCCAAAAATGAAACCGAGGGGAAATGGGAATTAAAACGAATTCAAAATGGCGGAAGAGGTCTGCGGCTCAGTGGGAAAAAAACCCAGCACTTTTGCTAAGTTTTATGCAAGACCCTGCACCAAAACAGCGACATAGTTATACCTGCAAAAGATGCTTGTCCTTTCTCGATGATATCTTAATGCTAAAAGGCGCAAATCATGGCGACAGACGACCACATTTTAGGAGATCATGTCATGTTCTATCTATTTAAAGCAGAAGCATGTTTGCATACCAGGTAAGGAAAAACCCACAATGTGCTGGTTATGAAGACAGATTAAGATGTTTTTAGACTTGTGTTATTTTGCGATAACTAAGAAAGTAAGCTTTTGTCCTAGTTGAATTATGCCTATGTATTCTTGAGTGCCCCATGGGGGCGAAGAAAGAAACACGTTCTGTAGCCTGAAGAGCAAGTAGAAGGTGCCAAGAGTGTTATTACAATCTACATGAACCCATCTCCTACACCTTTTAGTGGTAACTGGTATTTGCTGAATCTTTTTGTTGCTATGCTTGGAAGCTTGAAATTAGTTTGCTATTCCTACCATGATATTGTGATGTCAATAGTAGTGTGTCCACAATTTTGACACTGATTGAATATAACAGAAAAATTTGCACCATTATTAGCAAAAGTAGGTTGTGGCTCGCGTGATTTTATTTTTAATTTAAAAATTGCAATCTAGAGTGTTTGTAATTTGCCACACTCCAATTTCCCTTTTTACCTTAAGGTTCATTTTTGTTCAGTATTTTGATGCTTTTAGTAAGGGTGTCTGCAATCTGTACTAAATCTACATGGATTATTGCTGGAATATAAATAGGAGCAAATACATTCCTAGTTTTCTGTGTGTACTGTAGTTGAGATGCACATTTTTTAAAAGGTGATTGATTAAATAATAAAATATTATATCATTGCTCAATGAAAATTTCAGTTGTAACTAGAAATGAGTCACAGTCTAATAGTGGAGCTCTCAGAGCAGAGCCCCATAATTATACAAAATAGTAGTAACCCATCAAGCCAAAAAAATTTGGATGTACAACAGTACGACCGTACGACTGCACAACTGTACAAGGTGCTACTTTAAACATGCATGGTCAACTGTACCATGGGCAAGCCAACTCCACGGTTTTGTTTGGTAGTCCAGTGGTCAGTGCACTGGGCTCCGAGTCAGATGACCCGGGTTCTAGTCCTGGCTGGGGCAAGGTGTTGTGCCCTTGAGACGTGCGGGAAAAAAAAATGTGAGCTCCGCTTTTAGGCTTGGTTAAATCTATATGTTATCTTAATCAACTCAATATAAATTTATTAAAAAACAATTTAAATTCAATTTCAGTATGTACAAATACATTTAAGGGAACAACATGGATGGACATCCCCACCAATGTATCCTAGGATGGAACTTTTTCTAATCAGGTAAGAAGCTGATCAACTTGAAGTTCTCAAATTTTTTGACAGTTTTAACTGAAGATGCTTTGGAAAAATTAAGCAATTTATGTCATTTGTCTGCCAAAATTATGTTATTATAAGTATTTTTTTCCTACAACTAGTAGACAGAAAAGGCAAGGTTTCCATAGAAATGTGTCAACCATTTTTGTGCTAATTGACATATATACTATTTTGTTTTTTAATTAATAAAAAACATTTGCACAGGGTTCTCATTAAGTGTTAGCTGCCAGCTAAAAACTGACCACCTTGGTTTCAGAGGGGCTTTGTTCTTTATGAAATGATGTGTTTTAAGTTGTGAACAGTAAACTGTAATAAATGTGAAAACAAATCATTGCTACAAAAAATTGCATGAACAGAAAATTTTTAAAGTTTTTTTAACATTTTCTTGCTGGTTGAGCACTCCTCCAATCTGTACACATATTTATGTAGCCTACCAACTGCCATATTGCTTTGCATACACTTCCAAAAGAATGCATGAAATAGCTTTTCATTGCCTCAAAAATAATTTTATGTGGAGGAGCATGCCACTAGACCTGAGGAGAGAGCTCTTGAATTGTCAGCAGTGTACTCCATGCAGCTAGTCATCTACTCCATGACTTGTTTAGAACCCTGTTTGCATGTTTTGCACATGCACTTTTCAGGCAAACTGTGTGTAGGTGGTGAAAATGAGATGCACTTACTATGTATGTTTGCTCTTACATGTGTGAGAAGTACTCTGCATGCATTGAATATAAGATGTGACAGTTCTTCACTCCTCAATAAGTTTAAAAACTAAATTAAATGGAAACTAATTATTTTGTTCTGCAGATGGTAGGATGTGTACAATGTACAAACAGGGCAACACAGTTGATTGACATGTATCTGAAGATGGTCCTCTCTTATTTTGGTAAGAAAACTGATATGATGTGCTAGAGCTATTAATAGATTTAACTTCAACATAAAACAAAGTGATATACTGAATGGTTGACTGTGCGAGTGACAGATACACTGAGTGGCTGGATGACTGACTGACTGATTGATTGATTAATTTACTCTCTGACTTGTTGATAGACTTACTGACAGATTTACTATCACAGACTGGCTAATTGAGTAACTGATCAAATAACTTACAGACAGAGATACAGACAGAGAGACTGAGTGATGGACTAGCCTTTTTACTTAACAATTGACTGACTGATGAACTGACTCACTCACTAATTGAGTGATGGATCAATTAAATGACTGACTGACTGACTGACTAATTGGTAACTACTTTATAGTGGACTGACAGGCTAACTACATGCAAATGACTGACTTTGGGACTTAATGATGCAGACTGTTTGACTGGCTAGTTGACTAAGCAACTACAGTATGTGAATTAGAGTCTGGCTAATGATAGACCAAGTGGTGGGCTGCTCTGATGACTGGATGACTGAGTGAATGACTTACTAAAAGATTAATGAAAGGAACTTGTGCACAGACTGGCTGACACAATTACTGAATAGTTGACTGTGTAACAGACACACTGTCTGGCTAGCTAAATTACTGGCTGACAGTGTTAATGACTTACAGAGTGACTGACTGACCATGTGACAGAACAAGAGAATGACTTTCTGACTTACTGACAGCTTAACTATATGACTGATTGATTGGATTGACTGACTGAATTTTAAATTAATACTGATCAGGCAACAAAGTGGTGCTCTGAATTGATGAGTGGATGACCAACCGACTTTCTTACTGATCAATGGACCAGGTGAGCCTGACTAATTGACTTAGATGCTGACTCTCTGAATGACAAACTGTCAGTGTGAATGATTGATTGAATTGCTTTTGACTGGATGAATTTTAGACTCAAGCATCAGATAGCCATATGATGCACTGTGTGAATAACAGGATTACTGAATGAATAACTCACAAAACAACCAGTCAAGAGACTTGAGTGGATTGAATGTGTGAGTCAATGACTCCCTAGCTGATATAGAAATGACGGACACACTGGGTGGCTGATTGACTGGTTTATTACCATACTATATGACTGAGATTGATTGACTGACTGTCTGACTGATGTATCAATTTTTCAAACTGACTGAATGTCTAACTCACTCACTGACTGACTAATAAACCAACTGATTGATTGAATTATTGAGGGACAGTCAAGATACTCTAATGACTGATTGACCAAACAAACAACTTGTGAATGAACTGGCTACTGAAATAATTAACTTACTTACTAACTGACTGACTCACTGGCCAATCAACTGACTGATTGTCTGACTGACTTATTGAGGGATGGAATCACTGACTCATTGAAAACTAGTGGACTGATTGGTTGGCTATACGACTTGCTGCTGGATGGAATAATGCACTGATTGTTTCACTGACTTGTAAACTGAATCGCTGACTAAATGAGTGACTGACTGAAGAACTGACTTGCTGATCTAGTAACTGACTTACCAACCGACTTGATGGCTGGTTGTCTGAGTTACTGAAAAGAGGCACTGACTGTATAGTTGATCAACCTGTTGACTGTTAGGATAAGTAGATGACAGAATGAGTGACCAACTTTTAAGATCAATGGAGGGACTAGTGGACTGAGTGACTAACTAACTGAGTGAGTGACAGACACATTGATTTGCTGCTAATCGATTAACAAGATGATTGACTGGTGGACCGGCTGGTTTTCTGAATGACTGAATGAATGATTGCCTATTTACTGAACTGGCCAGATGATTGTCTCTATGACTGACTGAGTGATAGAAACACTGGCCAGATGATTGTCTTTATGACTGACTGAGTGATAGAAACACTGGCTAGCTGATTAGCAGTTGACTGACTTTTGGACTGGCTGGCTGAATGATGAATGACAGAAGTAAAGACTACATAACTGGTTGAATGACTAGCTGGCTGACTGAACAGGTCTTTGACTGATTGAGTGACCAAGCGATTAGCTGAGAACATAGAACTCACGGCAATATTGAAATGTCTTTTTCTTTGTCAACACTTGATCACAATTTTGACAAAAATCACCAACCCATCACTTTTATATAATTTCAAGAAATTATTTGAAGAGCAGTGGATTGATGTAGTGACATGAGTGAACCTGAAAACTAGACCAATAAGAAATGCTTTGAAGATCAATTTATATGTTAAGCTGAATCCTCATGCATTTTGATTGATTCTTACTGATGATCCACTGGGAGACAGACGCATAGATGACGTCACTATTGATAACATTTTAGTTTTTTTATGATAGAAAAATGTGGGAAGAATATCAGTGACACGCCCGGCTGCGCCTTGTGTGCCACTTTTTTGTTCTTACCACATTTTGACATCATCTGTGATTTATTACTGAATGGAAACTGGGAATAAATTTGTTGGGTGGATTCTTATTTGGGATTTTTTATGGGATTTGATTACCTGAACAGGGTTGTTGGGGTAGTGACATGGAGTACAGTGCAAGACAAAGGTAACATTGAGAAATGATTTTTTTTTTCCAATGGCTCCACCTCTTTATTGTTGTTTATTTCCCTGCTGTCGAGATACTGCAACATTGTCGTATGCTGTGCTATCAAATGTTTGTTTTTCTCATTATTTCATTGCAGACGAACAATTGTTCTCCGAAGACATCAAGGAATTGTCGGTGACGTCAACGTGGATTTAAAGTTACAAGTTGATAGTGTTGATATCCTGAGTACAGGTTAGAGTTGTACATCGTATGTATATCCTAAGGAGAACCAATTTCTGTAAGTTTGGATGATGCGGTTTGCTGCAAGACGCTATCAATTGACCATCGAATGTGTATCTTATTCTCTTTGTAACATTGCTGAGAGAATTAAACTATTGGTTAGATATTGAAGCGATAGGGGCCTTTTTTCAGTCACGATGGCAACGCCGAGGAAAACGGTCGAGAACTTTAATTAAAAAATTTATTTTTTTTATCCAACGGTGCCACATCTTAGCTTCAGCATATTGTATGTGAGCCGTGTTTAGTTCTAACTTAAATCAATTGCCGTTGGGTTGTCAGCTCTCTCTAACACGCAAATTTTGGTGATTTCACGTTGAATTCTACGCAGTTGTGACTTTCCACCTTGTGAGAGTTGATCCTAGTCGAACAACGATTCTGAAATTAAACGTTGCCGTTTGACTTTTGGCTCTTTTCGCTTCAGTGGTGTGCCCAAAAATTATAGAATGGTTTCTTTGTTTAAAAAAAAGTATTAGGCAAGCTCATTGTTTTCCAGTGATGAAATTCTTCGGTTACGTTAATTTTTTTGTCATTTTTTGTTCACTGGTAGTGTGGATGAACAATTTAAAATCAGTTTTGTTATCCTTCGACGGGCTAGGTTTCGCTAAATTTGCTTAGCCGAATACGTCAATAAAATTTTAAAAATTTGCTGAAAATGCTGAGCCATTTAAGAAATCCACTCGCTGAACGCAACAAAATCATATGCAAATTCGATACCAAGAGTGAATTTCACACTATCCGACGATATGAATTAAAAAAAAAAGGAATAAGAGAAACAGAATTAAGAGGATCTGTATCTTCTGTTTGAGGGTCATCCTGTCATCTAGTTACTGAAGGTAGCGGTAATTTTAATAACCCTTTTTACTGCAACATTGGTATGGTTATGTTGGTTTGAATTCCACCTATTTGTTATTAATTTATTTCCCGGTTCTAAGTAGACCGAAAAATTGCTGTGGGCCAATTTAGCCAATTTGTTAATCTTTTTTGTTCTCGAATCCTTTTTTTTTTGGCAGATGAAAAATTTTTTTAGTGTACTTTCTTGGGGGAGTTTTTGGTGATGTCGACGTGGATTGAAAGTTTCAAGCTCATAGAGTTGGTGTTGTGATTACAGGTTAGAAAGTTATGCATCTCTTATGTATCATTAAGGAAAGCAACCTATTCACAATGAAACAACTTTTAGAATTCATCTAAAGTGAAAAGATAAGAGAGTAATAAGACAAAATCCAGGTAAACTACACATTTATTGCCTTCTGGTTAAGGATCGTCCCCTCACGTAGTTTACAAGAGTAGCTCTCACTTAAGCAAACGCAACTAAAAATCCTTTAATTCTTGGTTTTACTTTTCTGCGATTTAATCGAAGCTTTTATTAAATTTAATTTGTAATTTGTTGGATCATGTCAAAACTATCTGAATGTGTTTTTTTCCATTTTAATTTTAGTATTGAGAACTTCAAGGAACATAGACGTTAGTTTCCAGCCAGGAAGTCGAGAAAGAGTTGTAAATTTACTCAGATAGCTTTTGCACCGCTCGTACATTAGAGTAGGAAACTGGTTTAGTACATTATGATACCTTCAGGGTTCGTACCCTTTTTCAGAAACAATTTTCCAGGACTTTTCCAGGACTT